ACACACCTCCCTCTTTTGATCATTTAAAGGTCTTTGGTACACTATGTTTCATTTCCACCCTTTTCACAGCATCGAACAAAATTTGACAATCGAGCTAAGAAATGTGTTTTCCTTGGTTACAAAGAAGGTACAAAAGGATACATTGTTCTTGACTTAAACACAAACGAAATCCTTACTTCCAGAAATGTTATTTTCTATGAAAATAATTTTCCATTCTCTCAAACCAACATTGATTTCAATCCTTCAGTTTCAGTAATGCCCTTATCAAATACTGATCTCAGCATTGACTCTATGCTGCCCACATATAATGAACCAACTGTTCCCCCTACTACTGCCTTAATTCCTTCAAATACAACTATTTCATCTACACCAAACCTTCGTAGATCAACCAGAATCAGAGCAGCACCTCAATATCTAGAAGAGTTTCATTACACTCTATCTAGTTTAGCTGACACCAAAGAATCTTCAGGTATGTCACCTTCTCCTTCTTATCCTTTATCCGATTTCCTATCCTACAATAACTGTTCTAAGCCTTATACTGTTTTCTGCAATAATCTTTTGATTGATACTGAGCCAAAGAACTATAAACAAGCTGTTGTTGTTCCTTGCTGGCAAAAGGCCATGGAAGCTGAATTACAAGCTTTAGACAGAAATCACACATGGGAGTTGGCTGAATTGCCTATGCATAAACAACCCATTGGTTGCAAATGGGTGTACAAAATTAAAAGAAAACCAGATGGTTCTGTTGATCGTTATAAAGCACGCTTGGTTGCAAAGGGTTACACTCAATGTGAAGGTGTTGACTATTTTCAAACCTTTTCACCGGTGGCCAAGATGACCACTGTTCGATTGCTCCTTGCTTTGGCAGTTGCTAGGAATTGGCATTTGGAACAACTTGATGTTGATAATGCTTTTCTTCATGGTGAACTACATGAAGAGGTTTTCATGAAGCTTCCTCCTGGTCTCTCTTGTAGCTCACCCACCATGGTTTGTCAACTCAAGAAATCTCTTTATGGATTAAAACAAGCTAGTAGGCAATGGAATGCCAAACTCACTAGTGCTCTCCAAGGTCTCGGTTATATTCAATCCATGGCTGACTACTCTCTGTTCACAAAGAAAATTGCCACTTCCTTTACATCCTTACTGGTGTATGTTGATGACCTTGTGCTGACTGGTGATAGCATGGACGAGATTATTCATGTCAAATCTTCCTTACATAATCAGTTTCGTATCAAAGACTTGGGCCAATTGAGATTTTTTCTTGGCTTGGAAGTAAGTCGATCTAAACATGGTCTAATATTAAATCAGCGCAAGTACACTTTGGAATTACTTGCTGATTCAGGTAATCTTGCTGCTAAACCAGCTTCGACTCCTCTCACTCCTTCGCACAAGCTCAGTCGTGATCAAGGGGATCTCTATTCTGACCCAGAAGGATATCGCAGGCTAGTTGGCAGATTGTTATATCTCACTACCACTAGACCTGACATCACTCACTCAGTACAACAGCTTACTCAATTTATGGCTTCACCTACCCAAGCCCATTACATAGTTGCTTGTCATGTTTTACGCTATCTCAAGACTTCTCCCAGCAAAGGTCTATTTTTTCCTGCAGATAATTCTCTTTCTCCTTCTGGTTTTGCTGACAGTGATTGGGCTTCTTGTCCAGACACTCGAAAATCCATCACCGGATTTTGCATCTTTCTTGGTTCATCTCTCATTTCCTGGCGATCGAAGAAGCAGAGCACGGTTTCACGTTCTTCCTCTGAAGCTGAATATCGTGCCCTTGCTGCCCTCACATGTGAACTTCAATGGCTGGCTTATCTATTTAATGATCTTCATATTCCCTTGCTTCACCCAATCCCAGTTTACTGTGACAATCAATCTGCAATACACCTTGCACAGAATCCCACCTTTCATGAAAGAAAACACATTGACATTGATTGTCACATAACAAGGGAGAAAATTACAAGTGGTCTTCTCAAACTACTGCCCATCGCCACTGCACATCAGCTTGCTGATGTTCTAACCAAGTCTTTACACCCAGCACCTTTCAGGGAGAATGTTTCCAAGTTGGGACTCATTGACATCCTACTCCCAACTTGAAGGGGGGTATTAGTGTATAGAGTCCACATCGGTTAATTAACTATAGCAGTTAATTTTATTTAGTTAGTTAACTATAGCAGTTAGTTAATTCCATGCTTAGTTAGTCTGTTATTACAGTTTAGTCTTGATACTGATATATACGTCAGTTACATTGTATTTTGAGATCACTTGATTCAATTCAATTTACTATGAGAATTTTCTTTTACAGCAAAAGCTTTCTGTTTCCTTTTGTAATAAAAATTACAAAAAAAAAAGCATAAGAAAATAATCACTTTTAATTCTTGTTTGTCTTCATGATATATTATTTCATTGTGTAATTTATATATTTGCGGTGTTAATGTGATCAATTATTTTGTCATAAAAATTACAAAAAATATATAATTAAATTTTAAACTTTGTTTTAATTCACGCAATGATTTATACTATTGATGTATGATCTTTCATCCTTAAGTATTATACATATTATATGGATATACGTATACCAATATTATCTTATATCCTGCACAATGTGAAATTATTTTCTAAATAAAAATATTTTATCCCAAGATTTTAAAAATAAAAATTATCTATCCAATAGATATTTTTTTAAATATTGTAGCAACGATTTACAATATTGATTGTATGGTTCATCATACTCAAGTATTGTAAGTTTCGTACGAATTTACGTGTAGCTATTGTGCTATCTTAAATTCTGAGCAATGATCGATTTCTTTTTAAAAATTAATAATTTTTCTCAAAATCATTTTCTTTTAAATTAAAATCAACCAATACAAAAATATTTTCTATAAAATGACGTAGCTTTGAGTTCCCTATTGTACAAAGGGATACGTCGAAACGAGACCCTTTCTGTCAAACACAAAAATAAATTTTCAAAAAATATTTTCATTTTCAATAATCATTCTTATTTAATTCTTTCGGATGAAATAAATATTTAAAATTTTATCAATAATTTGCATAATTAATATAAGGTAACTATTTTTTAAACAGACGGTGTAGGGTGCTAATACTTTCCCTACTCGTAATCGACTCTCGAATCCATGTTTTATTTCAAAGACCAATTTTCTTCAATAAAAGAATTTTTGCAATGTTTTCTCAAATAAATCTTCGTAGTGACTCTATTGTTTTTAATCTTTTTTTTCGCCGTCACGTTGTGATTAAGTTGTGACAAGTATAAAAAAAAATCTAGTAAAATTAGATTGATTTATCACATTAATACATATTAAACAAGTATAATTTTCCAACAAATTCTTGTCATGCGTTGAATAAGTAAACTGAGAAGAGATAAAACTTAGGACTTGAAATTTCTCATTTTGCATGAGAAGTTGGAGCTTTCTTAGTGAGAGAAAAAGAAGTGGAGCTCATCTTGAGAGTAGTAGCAGAATAGACTTCTCATGTTATATGAGAAAAAAGTTTTCCCCTAAAACTTATTATTATAAATAGAAGCCAACATTTAAAAATAAAAAATACGTCAACTTGACTTGAACCCAGATAACTCTAGGATTATGTAAGTCGGGTCATATCAACCCATGTTTTGACTTAGTCAGCTGATTTTATTAGTAACCATACCTATCGTTTTGGTGGGTTGAGCCAGGTTGGTTCAGGGATTGTAAACCATGTAGACAAAAAGCAAGAAAAAGTGGGGACCTAGCCAATTAAGCTGTAATTATTGTTTCTTAATATCTCTACAAATAATTAAAAAATTATAACCTGCTCTGTAAGGGATTTGTAGTTTGTACCAATCATCAATCGTAGTTTATACCAGAATTTTAAAATAAAAAGTCTAAACACCTACAACCATTGATAAATTATTAAACTATATAATAAGTGTCAGAGGAACTGTGGAAGTGTTAATTTAATTGCTGTACAAATTTAAGGGCTTAACTTCTCTTGATAGGAGAGAAGTTATCTTATGTTATGAGACGAATTAAGTGGATATCTCATGTTATGAGACGAATTAAGTGGAGCCCATCAATTTTTTTTAAAAGAAAAAAAAAGATAAGCATATTTTTTTTATGTGAGTGTAATATGAGAGATGAATCTTATATAACATAAGAGTGTAATTCCTCTAAATTTAAATATAATTTTAATGGCATAACAAATTGAGAATCAAGAAATGTTTTATATATTACAAAATTCAGATGTCAAATTTGTTGAATCAGAATACACATATTTAATCAAATTATGGTAGTTCAGTTGACGCATAAAAGCTAAACAGGTGGGGTGAGATCATGTGTTTGATCCTCTGTACCATTTTTGAGAGGAATTTAAAGCTTTAATCATAGACCCGGCCCGAACAGAATTATCTTCCTTAAAGAATACATGTCATTTATCAAAAAAAAATCGCATATTTAATTACGATGTTCAGATTGTTCATAAATGTCCGTATCGCATATAATCCATAAACGAGGTTGTTAAGTTTATAATAGAATTGGGTAAGCCGTAGTTTAAGTTGGGATTTGGGGGAGTAGAGATTCGAAGACTTAACTCGGATACACCACATGGGCTATAGAACATTAATGGGAGTGAGATCATAGAGTCAATTAAGCACAATAATGGGCTATAAGCACATGATTAAGCATATAACTCTACTCCACTGACATCAATTCCACACGCAAATAAGTTGTATAAAAAAATCTTATGATAACATAATAAAAATACATTTGGTAATGGATCGAACACATGTCTTCATCTCCACCTACTCAGTTCTCTGAGAGTAATTGAGCTACCATAATTTAATAATGGATCCAATATTTAATGTGCCTCTACCGGATAATATATCTATATCAGGCTACAATATTTATTTATACACTTGGAAGGTGCTATATATTGAGAAATAGATGCGTTAATTTACAATCACTAATTACAATTAAAGTTAAGCAGTTTGACAGCACAAAGAAATGGCTGGGACGAAGACTCTTTTGGATGCTTGTTTGCTACATAACAAAATTCATTTGAATCGGTTTCAAGGACGCCACACTCTTAGTCTGAGCCATTCCATTCAGGAACAGAGATTGGTGTATTCATGGAGTTGGAGTGGTAAGATGAAATTCAGAGTGAGGAAGAAGGGGAAGCAAATTGCACCAACCATGGCAACTCTCATTGAGGGTGATGAGTTGGCCATCTCTGAAAAATCCACTACCATGAAGCTGAAAGCACTTGTTACCGTGAGAAACAATAATAAGGCATTTCCAAATGAAATGGTGAACAACCTCCTCAGCATTTTCAGGCCTCAAAACCACACCAAAGGTGTTGTTCTGCAGCTTGTTAGCACTGAACTTGATCCCAGTAAGTGTCTCTATCTAATTCATCCATTTTATTTTTGTTTGTTACGAATCTTGAGATCACCGCCCCAAAAACTAGCTCAAAGGATGAAAATGTTCAAAACTTTATAAACCTTACATTAGTTGTATAGCTGTATAGGCAAGTGAGACTCGTAAGATTGTCAATTCATCGAATTACCTCAAAATGTTATAATTCGAAAAAAAATCTCTTTGAAAATATGCAATGGTATAACTGCGTACAAATATTGTCTTCGTCCCAGGTGGGGTTTAATGGGAGTGGTGGATCAAATTACTACATATTGTTTCAGCTTAATGTTTATTGTTCAACTTGTTGTGTTGTTAATATAAAATGAAAGGGAGCATGGAAGCAAAGTTGAGCAAGGAAACGGTGTTGGAGTTGTCCAAAGACCATGAAGTTGAAGCTGAGGGGAGAATCAGCACCTATAAAACTGAATTCTTCGTGGACTCAGATTTTGGGGTTCCTGGGGCTGTTACCGTCGTTAATGGCTATGACAGTGAGTTCTTCTTGGAAAGCATAAGCATTGTGCAAAATGTTCATTTTGCTTGCAAGTCTTGGGTTCAACCAAATAAGCGTGATCCACAGAAGAGAATTTTCTTCATTAACAAGGTAACATACAGGGCCGAAGAAAAACACCGTACACAAGGGGAGGGATCAATTTCTTCTTGAAATTTTTATGTTTATTTCTATCTTCACATGCATTGAATAGGTAGGATTCAATAATTATTCATGAAGAAAGAGATAAATATAAAAACTTTGCATGATCAGTTCATGTAAAATTTTAACATGAGTCTAGTAGGAACTAGATGATCCGAAGAATTTTTAATATAATAAATTTCGATTTACTCTGCTCAAATTAATTGAATATTTATTGGAAAAGTTTTTAAATAAATTCAGCCTATGACTATGTTAACCTTGGTGAATTGAATTGTCTAGAAGTGTTTGGTGCAGCAAAACATAATGGGATTAGGTGAAATTAAGATGGTGAATTATCTCTTATTTTATATTGGTGTTGATAGACAACTATGCTAATGAATAATAATAGACTAAAGCATCACATGCAGCACGCTAATTGTGTTTTTTTTTTATAATGTGTGTGAGATTAAGCTGGTGAATTATCTCTTATTTTATATTGGCGTTGATAGGCAATTATACTAAAGATTAATGATAGACAACTTTTAAATTTTAATCATTTTAAAAGTACATAATTATAAAGAATCAACTCAAGCTAAAAATTTAAATTTTTATTGCAAGGTATATATATATATATATATTATTTTTTAATATGCCTCCTCGAATCCTTTTTGGATTAAAACCTCAATAGTATGAAAATATTTTTAATAATCCTGCCCCAATGTACTTCTTTCATTGAGAGATTGGCACTTATATATATATATATATATATATATATATATATATATAATTACTCTCTTCTCTCTCCTCTCTCCTGATTAGTTATCACATTTTTATTGGTTTGGACCAATTAAATTTGATGCTCCTGGAGCACCAAAACTCTTCTCCAATAATACATATGTCTATATTTTTTATTTTTTTATTTTTTTCTATTTTTTTTCAATTTTTTTGTATCTTTTATTTGAGTTCATCTACCCGACCTTAATTAATTTAAGATAAAGTTGTTGTTGATGTTGATGTTGAAGAGAATGAGTTACAAGGATCAAACTTTAGATTTCTTTAATTATATAAGCTAGATATCATGTGAAGAATATTCAATGCAAAAGATAAAGTTGTTAGGTGAAGAAATATATATATAATTTTATATTTTTCGTAATAATGATATATTATAAAATTTACAATGTAAAAACTATAAAATTATCTAAACAAAAATTCAAGTAATAACACGATATTTATCTTTTTCTATGCAATAAACATTGGAAAATTGTCTTCCTGTCTCTTAAGTCAACAAATGAACGCGAAGATACATTTACATCCTTGTCACCTAATTATTTAAAGTCCAAGTATAGATAATATATCAGACACAGCTTCAAAGTTCCCCTGAATTAATTGTGGAAATTGAACAAAAGCCCATCTTATAACCGTGATGGAAAATGCTAGGTGAGTATTCTATATGAAATTTTTTACATATATAAACTATGGTGTATACTGTACACAACAGGCCTATCTAGCATGTGAGACACCAATTGGGCTGAAAGAACTGAGAGAAAGAGAGCTGAAGCACCTGAGAGGTGATGGCAGTGGACACAGGATATCTTCTGACAGAATCTATGACTACGATGCATACAATGATTTGGGTGATCCAGACAAAGGAGATGAGTTTGCAAGACCAACATTGGGTGGCCAACACAACCCTCATCCCACACGTTGTCGCACTGGACGTCCACCTACCAGAACTGGTCACTTTCATTTATCACTTTACTTATTACCTTTTGTTGTTTTCTCTAGGCCATGCACATTAAGATTGTGCATGAAAACTATTTTGTTATCCCACGTTGTTTTTGAAAAGAAATATTTTTTTTTTATTTCTATATCTTAGAATAATTTCTGAGAAAAAAAATGTGTTTGATAGCATGTTAGGAAATTCAAATATTAGTGATAAGTAATGAGTTATATATTGGTTGCATTAAGTAATAGAGGACAAGATGTCTTTGAATGTAAGTGGTTTAATATCTAAGAATGAACGTAAAACTTCTTATTTTTACATAACTATAAGTTGATACCGTTTTTGCCATCTGTACATGCAAACATGGACAGATACGAAGATGGAGTCACGGCCGAGTGGATCAGAGGCAATATACGTGCCTAGAGATGAAGAACTGGATGACATAAAGAGAGAAACTATTGATCAAGGAAAATTGATGGCAATGCTTCGTAATGTTGCGCCTGCTATAATAGATAACATCATGGGCAGTGAAAGGGTTTCAAACATTGATTACTTTTTTAAAGAGCCAGGGCTCTCTGAAGCTAAGTGTCAGCCTGGTCTAGGTGCAATTCTAGCCCAGTTACCACTGACACGGATTCTACTCAATTTGGGAGGTGCCATAGAACAGATAGAAGAATTTTTTAAATTTGATCCTCCGAAGATATTTTCAAGTAAGTGAAATCATAGTGTGACTATTACCAAATGAATTTTCTCCATGTTGAAGGGGGTGTGTGTGGTTTCATTTTAGAGAAACAAATTATTCAAATGAAGTGGAATGGTTTTCAGGAGAAAAATCACATTTCTTACTAGATGATGAATTTGGACGTGAAGTGCTTGCTGGGTCAAACCCTCTCAGCATTGAAAGGCTAAAGGTATATCCTTCACTTGTTTCATTTTGGTAATATGTAAAAAATAAATAAATAAAAAACACAGCTTTCTGTTCTTTCATTTTGTCAATTTTCCAATAGGTTTTCCCACCTGTGAGCAAACTGGATCCCTCTATATATGGGTCAGTAGAGTCAGCACTGAAAGAAGAACACATTATAGGCCACATTGAAGGGATGTCTATCCAACAGGTACAAAAAAAATTGGTCATCTTTCCTTAGGCTAAGTTCCGTGGAAGTGACAATTCATAAAATGTTGTCTGCTTTGAAATTTTAGGCATTAGAAGAGAACAAGTTGTTCATGCTGGACTATCACGATGTTTACCTTCCTTTCCTGGATCGGATTAATGCCCTTAAGGAGCGCAAAGCTTATGCAACCACCACAATTTTCTTCCTCACCAAAATGGGAACTTTGAAGCCCATTGCTATCCAGCTTGCTCTCCCAACAGGTGATCCAAATACTGCTTCCAAACGGGTTCTCACCCCTCCAGGAGACACCACCTCCAAATGGCTATGGCAACTTGGCAAAGCTCATGTTTGCTCTAATGATTCTGGCATTCATACACTTGTGCACCACTGGTATGAAATTTTATTTCCCTGTGAATATTAGTATTTTAGAAAATAAGTGATGCCATTACTCCATCCAAACATGTACCAAATATCTTTCATAATGTGTACAAATTACACAGGAGATTAGAAATCTTGTTATATATAAAGATTAGTAATTTATATGATGACATTGGCCTTTGATAATCAAACAGGTTACGAATTCATGCATGCATGGAACCATTAATAATTGCTGCTCATCGTCAATTGAGTGTGATGCATCCTATATTCAAGCTCCTGCATCCGCATATGCGATACACACTCAAGACAAATGCTATAGCCCGTGAGACACTCATCAATGCCGAAGGTACCATTGAGACAGACTACACTCCTGGGAAATACTGCATGCAAATTAGTTGTGCTGCCTATAAAGACTGGTGGCGATTTGACCTGGAAGGCCTTCCTGCTGATCTTATAAGAAGGTGAATAATATTGTGTCCATTGTGAATAATATTTTCTATCTTGCATTGCAATTCTATGTAGGACTTATTGTGCTGGCCTCATGAATCTTAAATAGACAATAGTAATTGGAGAACTAAAGACTATCCTAATCTGTTTCAATATCTTGCACATACATTATATCATGTAATAATGAACCTAATGTCATCTTGGTTCTTACATAGAGTAAAATTAGACAAACTTTATGCAGCTTTCTTTATTTAACATTATCCTCTGCAAAGTACCAAGACATGGATGATAAGATCTAATATTTCATTTTTTACAGAGGTTTAGCAGTTCCGGATGCAACCCAACCGCATGGCATTAGACTACTCATTGAAGACTATCCTTATGCAGCTGATGGACTCCTCATATGGTCCAGCATAGAGAAGTTGGTCCAGACCTATGTGAACCATTACTACAAAGGTTCAAATGCTATTTCTTCTGACAATGAACTCCAATCCTGGTACAAAGAAGTCATCAATCTCGGACACCCTGATCATAAAAATGCTAGCTGGTGGCCTAAACTTGCCACCCCTGAGGATCTCATCTCCATGCTTACCACTATTATCTGGACTGTATCTGCACAACATGCTGTCTTGAACTTTGGTCAATACCCCTATGGTGGGTATGTTCCAATCCGTCCACCATTAATGCGAAAACTGATTCCCAAGGAGGAGGATCCTGACTACTCAGATTTTGTCATGGATCCACAGAGATACTTCTTATCATCACTGCCAAGCTTATTTCAGGCAACAAGGTTCATGGCTGTGATCAACATAGGTTCTTCACACTCGCCTGATGAGGAATACATAGGAGACAGAAATGACATCTCTTCTTGGTACGGTGACCCAGAGATCATTGATGCATTCAGCCAATTTTCTATGGAGCTAAAAAATATTGAGATGGAGATTGAGAGAAGAAACGCTGATCCAAAACTTAGGAACAGATGTGGCTTTGGAGTTTTACCATATGAACTGCTTATACCAAGCTCAGGACGTGGGGCCACAGGACGAGGGGTTCCAAACAGTGTGACAGCCTAATAGTTGAATGTATGGACAGACCGGTAACTGAATCTATCTATGTTTTACTATTCCTCAGCCTAGGTGGATTAACATGGATTCAAGATTCGGTCCCCAATAAACACAAAAAATAAAATAAAATAAAAAACAAGGAACACTGCAGGCATGAAATCATTTGTACGTGTGTACCTAGTAGCATTAAGATTTGATTGTTATAAGTCAAATTCCTCCTCATTGGCGCTTTGCTGTCTCAGGAATAACACGATAGTTTGCAGCCACAGCTAGTCTTTCTGTCTCATGGCAAAAATGCCACTGTCAATTTCCACCTCTTAGAGCTCACGGGTTTGAATCTGAAAAATAATTTCTTTGTAAATATTACTGAGGTAAGACTGCATGTATAAAAATTGCTCTGATCCCTACGTTTGCTAATCGGATTTTAATGGGAAGTGGTTGATTATAATTCATATGACAAGAATTCTTCATCCCAAAGAACTAGTTAAACAACTAAATAATAGCATTAACAAGATCTCATTTGATCATATAATGACAAGATGACTCTAATGCATCAAATAAGGAATCTTGGCTACTCCCAACTCAGAATGTATATCAGGGTATCATATTAAAGATGCCCTAAGGGGAGAGGTTAATCATACTTCTCTCTCCAAGAGTAAACAAGAAAGAAAACCCATGAGAGGCCCAAGAGGGTGTCCCCAACTGTATGCCTGAGCCAATCCCAGGCGAAGAAGGCCTGAAAGTCCCTGTCCTTGACGAAGGAAACCATCAAGAGAAGGAAACCAATTGTGACAAGGAGCAACCCGGAGAAGGAATCGGAGTCTTGATGAGAAGCTGGTCGCGTGGGGTGGATCCAAGAAGCTTCGTCTCTGTTCGGACACCGTGCCCAAAAGTGGAAGCCTCCTTCATGTAGAACATCATTAGGGCCCCACTGCTCATGGCGATCACAGAGTGGAAGACGCAAATCACCAAGAATGCCGACGATGATCCCATTGTTTCGCATTTCACGGCCCTCACCTCACACCATTTGGGAAGAACAAAGGTGATTTATTTATTTATTTTTTTAAGGCAAAATTCGATGTTTGGAATGCTCTGACATGAGGAAGAGACAGAGTTTCTAAGTTAAGGATATGGTGGGACTAGAGCCGGCAAAACAAGCTCGGCTCGGCGGGTCAACTCGCTCAACCCGCCAAACGGGACTGGACGGGTTGAGTTTTTCAACCCATCTTAAAAGCGGGGCGGGCTCATTTTTTGGCGGGTTGATGGCGGACACAGACGAGCCGAGGTGGGTTAGTGTAAAATAGGTTCGGGCTGGCGGGCCAACCCGCCCAACCCGCCAAACGGGGCGAGGCGGGCTGAGTTTTTCAGTCCACTTTCAAAAGCGGGGTGGGGCGGGGTGGCTCATTTTTTGGCGGGTTGATGGCGGGGTGAGACGGAGCGGGACGAGCCGCCCACTCTGCCACCTCTAGGTGGGACCATGACAAGTAATATTTGTCCGAGGATCGGGGCACGCGTCTAATAAAGACAACCTGGGGTATTCTTATTTGTCTGGGACTGGGAGCATTAAAATAGCATGGAGATGATAAATTATATTAACAAAATTAAAAATAAAATAAAAAAATGAGCAAGGCTCTTTATCTTTAGCACTTACAACCCAAGATACAATAACGGAGAAGAAAAAAAAGATTTCGAGGGATTTCTGGGCACTTCGCTGGTTCCAATAAATAGTAGAAATTTAAAATTTAACCAATTTCTACTAGACACCCAGCATATGTAAAATGTGTAGCAACCCTTTGCCAAAACAAAAATCAGGTGTTGGAAGAGATGTAACACTTGTACACTTCCTGCGCAGGGCACAATAACCAAACCCTGTTGACAAATTGAAATGTAAAAAAATCTAGGGAGAAAGGGACGAGCAACAAACATATGCCTTCTTATAAAACTTAATATGAAAGCCAATAGAGGAATTAATAATTATCACACTTCCAATAGTTTTATTTATCTCAGACTCAAAAAATACATCAAAGCATCTATAATGTGAGTGTAGCAAAAGTTGCATTTTTCCGCCCGAAAATCTTAAATAAAAGCCAAAGAAATGGTATGCGGAAACATCTGGCAACAAAAAAGATAAATAAAGCCAACACAAAACCATAAGTTTCACTGTTGAAAGCATACAATATTTCCTGTGATTTTCTACTCCCTCAGGCATAAAACATGACCCCCAACCCTGATACTCAGAGCCAGCATATAAAAATCCAGTGTATCCAGAAACAACTCAAACTTGGTTCTCATGTAAGATACCGTATATATCAGGTTGCGGTTCAGGGAGAACAAACATCCTGTTCAAAGATCCAGCTGAAATATTATGGGTGACAGAGTTCAACCAATAGCTTTTTCACATGATTCTTCTGTACAGATGCATCTTTTGTAATTTCCACTTTGCTCGTGCATGGCATGTTCTTCTCTTAGTCACATCTTTTTAAGCTTTTCTCCTACTGATCCCAGTAGTTTCTTAGCTGAGACATATGCAAGAGAAGCTCATCTCTGCCTAGTCCAGTGACACTGCTGGTCATAATCCATGGGGGATGTTGCTTGTAGTTTTGTCTGATTAACTCTTGAAAATCCCTTATGTTCTCATCAGGCCGTTTACCCTTTGCCACCTTCATTTTATCGCATTTTGTGAAAACAAAAGTGATTGGTATCTGTAATTCACAAAAGTTTGATGGAATTTAGACTTGTTTCAGTACCTTAACAACATTACTTTAGGGACTCAATATAAAAAAGTATCATACATTATTACGTCCAAGCCAATTTGCACAATCCAAGTCAATCTTTTGAGGTGGAACACTTGCATCAATGAGAAGCAAGATGGCCACCAGAGTACTTCTGTTCAAAAAGTACCCTTTCGTGAATGAGGACCAATCCATTTTAGCAGCTTCAGGTGCTTTAGCAAAACTGCATAAAAACTCAAAAGTCAAAACATATGAGAAACAGCCTTTCATATGATGGGTTAACAATAACACCACCAATCACTAACCCTCAATTCTTTCCAATCCGAAAATGCGGGGGGGGGGGGGGGGGCGGGGGGGGGGGGGGGGGGGGGAGAATACAGGGAAGAACAGCATTGAAGAAAACAGATACAAATCCTGACAATTGGGCCATACAAGTAAACATAAACTGTTACTGAGCTCAAGAAACTTCAAAAACAATAAGGATACCAAGTTCAATTGTTTTAAAACAAAATATTCATACCCACTACCATATGTCCTGCATCAATCAGCTTTACCAAGAAAATAAGGAATCAAATGATAGGTTTCGATATTTTATAATAATTACATAGAGTTTGCAATTTTCAATATTGTTGATTTGCCCTCATTCCTCAATGCAATTGAATCACTTTAACAATCATAATTTTATATACTTTCAATACTCAATAGCAGTAGTTGATATAAAAATATTATAAATTTAAACATAAACCAGAACAAATTGGCATCATGTTGTGACTCACTCACCCATAACCAGGCAAGTCCACAAGGTACCAGGTTTTGTTCACCAAGAAGTGATTGATAAGCTGTGTCTTCCCTGCAAGTGACAAAAACACATTACACAAGCTCGAAGCATCTTATGAATTTTAAAATTAATTAAAAAAAAAAAAAAAAGACCTGGTTTTTTAGAAGTGAGTGCAATCTCTTTTTTGCGAACAAGGGAATTGATGAGTGAAGACTTGCCAACATTGGATCGACCCAAAATAGCGAATTCGGGTCGGTCATCCCTAGGGCAATCCTTAGCTCGACCACTACTCTTCACGAACTCAACCTCCTTTATTCGGGCATCGCCGGCGTAGGGTCCGACCACAATGTTGGATCCGGGTAGGATCATAGAGTCGTTAACCTCATCGGGTAAAACTCCCGGCGGAACGAATAGCAGGGTTTCCGATAAGGGGGAAGAAGCGTTCGTCGTTTTGGAAGCTGGGATTGAATGGGAAAGGGGCTTTCGAAAAGAGAGGAGAGAAGGTGTTGTGGTTTTGGGAGTGGACATAAAACGACGACGGATTTGGAGAGTCAGCGACACCATCACTCCACTTCTTAGCACCATTGTCATCCTCCTTCACTTAACTGCTAGTGCAAATGGATTGGGGATAACAGTGGCAAGAGGATTGGCTTTATTTGACGAAGTCGTCTTGTCCGGAGTAAGCATTCCGGAATTTTTTTCTGTTTTATTTTTATTTGAGGAAATACCATTTTTTGTTCCTCATCAAACTTTATGCCCGTTTTAGTACCTAGTAAATAAAAAAACCCATCGTTATTCTTAAAAAATTCAAAATGGATCCATTTAGTTGAAATTGTGGTCCTTCACAAAATAAAAAAAGACTCATATTAGTCCCTAAAATGACTAAAATGGATCCATTTTAAATTTTTTAGGAACCACGATAGGTCTTTTTATTTGCTAGGGACTAAAACGGATATCTTAAAATTTGCTGAGGACCAAAAAATGTATTTACTCTTTTTATTTTTAGTAAAATTAAAATACACAACCACAAAGGAGAAAAAAATTTACAATACTGCCCTAGTACCTACGTCGAAATATAATAACTTTGTGGACATGTTTCTTAAAAAGAGAGAAAAAAAATAATTTTGATATTATAAAGGAAAAGCAAATACAATGTTGTAGGAAAGTTCTTAGGTTATGTTATAGAAATAAAAATTGTGAAACCCACCTTTTTTTGTTTTACGAAAACAAGTATATGTTCCGCAATCTCTATCTATATAACACAACTTAATAACTTTTTTACAACATTATACTTTTTTTATTGGTAAACAAAAGGGCTAGAAAAACAAAAACAAAATAAAAATCCTACTGTATACCAACAGCACGCAAACTGCCCACAGCAACAAGATCAGCCAAATAAATCAGCTGAATACCAGTAGGAGGCTCTCCACAAGTAACATGTTGCACATTATCATCACTATTAAGAATAAAATTCGACATCCAATCTGCACAAACATTTCCTTTTATGTACGTGTGATTAATTTTAACAATCCAATCTCTACGAAGCCATGCTCGTATCCGAGAAATCAAATGACCCTCACGAGCTGCTACACCATGAGAGCTGAGCATACTGATTACACTTGTGGAATCACTTTCTAAGATAAGTTGTCAAACCCAACTCTCCAAGCCAATTCTAAACCTATAAGCACACCCTATAACTTTGCTTTGAAAGAACTACAAATTCCTAACTTGTGGGCGAAACCATTTAACCAATTGCCACGAGAATCCCGAATAACATCACCACAAGCAGCAGAATCTGGATTGCCTCTCGCAGCACCATCCGTATTCAGCTTTACAAACCCCTCCATTGGGAACTGCCAACAAATATTTATAACCATGGATCTCTTATTTATGCCAGTATCCTTTTCTCCCAAATAAGCTTCAGACACTTCATGAACCAGCTTTCGAATCAACTCTACTTTGTGGACAAAAGTAGGAGTTACATTACCATGTATAAAACTATTACGCCAATTCCACAATTTCCAACAAGTTACAAAAAAAGTAGTGAGACAGAGATCCGCTGCTGAAGACTCTCCCTCGACATCCATACACTTCTCAAGCCACAACTTTAAGTCCAGATTAAAGAACGAAACACACAGAAGATCAGGGAAAAGCGTATGCCATAAGTTCCTGACTTCATGGAAATCCCTTAGAACATGCAAAATAGATTCATTATGCATACTACAAACCGGGCTTGAATTATCCCCTCCATTCCAATAAGCAGAAATGCTTTTCGTAGGTAATCTACCATGAGCAACTCTCCACATAAATATTTTAATTTTTTGAGGACCCTTCCAACCCCATATTATCTTCCATATTCTTGACTCCTCAACCCCAATACCTCTAATACCACTGATACAACCATATAGGTTTTTAACCGATACAGTACCATCTCCCACAAGGCTCCAGAACCTATTATCAGGACCATCCATTCTGCAAGGGGCTAAAGTATTATAGAAAATATCAATTAAACCCCAGGTAAATATTTTCTTAACTCTTCATAATTCCACTCACCATAATCATTTATCCACTCAGCCACCGATTTATTTAAATCAATGTTATCCCCCCTTATATCCACAACATCTGCCAAAGCTTCTTGGGTTAATTGCCATTTGTCCTTCCAAAAGTTAATAGTTGTACAATCACCCAATTTCCAAATAAGCCGAACTTCCAATTCTTTCTAAAGTTTACACATATTTTTCCATAATCTCGAATCACCATTCCTAGCTATGAAGTTGCTATTTCAACGTCTTCCAGAACAATACCTGGCTTGAAGCACCTTTATCCAAAGCTGGTTTGAATTCTGATAAAATTCCCAAGGGCGTTTAGCTAGGAAGGCATCATTCATCACCTCCAACCTTTTCAGACCAAGACCTCCACTGTTCTTAGGCAATGTAAGGATATCCTAACTGATATCATGATACTTCCTATGGTTCTCCCTATACTCTTTTTTTCCTATAATTATATATTCTTCGAAATACTTAATTTATAATTTCATTTTGAACTACCGTCGTACCTAGTGCTCAGTACAACAGTAATACTAAAGATGCTATCCACTATGAAGAAGGGAAACTCTTTTTTTTTTTTTTGAGTTAACTCAACCTCAATTATTTCTTTGAAATGAATTAGCTCCCCTCAATATTTTCACAAACTTTAACTCTTTAAACTAACTCTTTAAACTAGCTACGAAACTAATCATTTTTTTTTTTCACTCAGCTCCTTTGCGCTACTAAAGACTTATTGTTAAATTGTATATAAATGTATTATTTTATGTAAATTGATGACGGAATTAATATTTCAGATGATGTAGACAAACATAAGGTACACAAAACATTGACTTCAATGCCAGGCTCAACAATGACGAGAGATAAAAATTCCACCAACAGAAACTAAAAGAGGAAACAGTGCTGGTCAGAGTATTTTGATAACTTTGTAAGAAGGAAGAGATCATGAATATATATCTTTCATGGAGAATAACTGAGAGGAAGCACACTTTTTTCTCTGATAATGGAGGGTTACCACGTGAGGAATTTAGTGGCAACCCATGTTATAATTATTGAGAATTTTACTATATGTACAACAAAAAAATTAACAAAAATGGACAATTGCACAAAATAAAAAAAGAATGAGAGCTTCTGTGCAAAAACAATACAACACACTCATCTTGCACGTTCTCCCTCCAGCTCTCCAACGAATGATTTTTCTGTAGGTGGAATTGAAATACATATTATATAATCACTCAAACAAAACTTTTAACTTGGTTCAATGTCTCTACTTCCGGCAACAACTTTGCGGTGGCGCCTAGAACCAGATTTCCTATCTTTTCCACGCTTTCCAGGGCCTTTTCTAATGGGTGAGATTACAACGTTTTCAGGTGATGTTTCAAGCACAGGCAATGGAGGTGGTGGAGCCGGCGGAGGAATGTTAGCAACTGCCCTTGGTGGAGCCAGGAGCAGCAATACAGACTTGTGGTATTTCTGTAAGCACAAAAAATAATAATTGGACAGTAAGGTAAAAAGTGACCATGAAATTATAGTTGGTTTGGATGAATAATGAATGTACCATCCAGAAAAAAGAAACAAGAACCATTGGAACAAGAGGTTTCCAGCAAAAACTCAACCTAGGTGGTTGCAGTACACTTTCCATAACACAAATACTTACAGTAGTGAACTAAAACAAATACAATTCTCATACAAAAAAGATGGAATTGGTCATTTTCCTGCCCAAGCAATGTAAAAAAATGAATGTCAATTTAAATAGTGAAATTAGGGATTGTTCATATCTAAGTACTGAGTTGAAAACATTAAGCGAAACAAAGAAAAAAGCAGTGAAGCTAAAAGAATAGATTTTTCTGAAAATACACAATTACAAGGGTAATCATCAACATGGAACCTGTTAAATTTTACATTTATGCTTTGAAAAGTGTGCACGCAGGTATGCATGTGTGTATCTTTATTGCATTCCTAATGTTAAACTGTTCAGAATCAGCATGTACCTTCTGGAAATAAATGCAATCATAACAGACAAGATAAAATGTTTACCTGAACTACAAAGTTGCGTCTTTCACAATCCAAGAACATGTTAAAATGAAAATCTACCCTGGCCAAAATTTTGTCCCTGACAGTTGAGAAACTAATCTGGTCCCTTGAAGTAAATCGGTCAACTTCATTGAACCAAAGACAAGTAAAGAGATTGCTAATAGGAACATGCTCTCGTACTATTACACATCCTTCAGGAACATCTGCAACTCAACCATGAAGTTTGAAGAAAATAAATAAATAAATAAGTGAGATAGGTGCATCTCATCCCAGATAGATACAGATAAGTTTCACCACCTACCACTTATAAGAGGAAGCTTGGCCTCTGTATATGGGGTCAGTCCCTCTTTCTTGTAAAACTCAATCTGAAAGTCAATAGAGTCATTATCATACTTTCTAGCAGCTTTATTTGCCTCGGCCTCAACAAATACATCAAAGCGTCTATAATGCTTTGATATTGCAAAAGTTGCATTCTTCCTCCACAAAAACCTAAATAAGGGTGAATAGTTTAGGTGCCAAAACACGTATTATGGCAAGATAAAGCAAAATAAAGCTTGCAAAAAGTCTGAAATAGCACAGGTATGAAATATTATCCCAAATGTATTACATTTTAGGACATAGATACTGCAAAAAATGCATTCTTCCGCCACATAGATACTGTTCCGGTGGCTTTTTCCGGCCACTCCAAGACAGAACAGCTCGCCTTCCTCCCCTCTTCTCCGATCTGGTCTTCATTCATTGTGGGTCTCGTCCGTTCAGAAGATATCAGTGATTCTTTGCTTTCCGGTCATTGTTTCAAGTGTTGTGCATTCTTATTTTTTGATATCAGTGATAACCCACTGTTCATCGTCATTGTTCATAGTGCTGGAATTTTCTATTTGAGTCTGTTTTATTTTTTTATTTGGTAATCTGTGTTTATTTGGTCCTTTTATTTGTTTCTGGTCATCTTTATTTAAGTTTTTGATGGAGGGCACATCCAAAAATAGTACTGGAGAGACTCCAGTACTACCCCATCCATTACACAATGAAACTGACTGGATCTGCTACTTACAAGACCTGGTCTACCTCAGTTAAGATCTGGTTTACTGGTCAGGGGCACGGTCCACATCTCACAACATATTATTTTATATTCAAGTTGGTATCAGAGCCTCACCGCCCCCCACTTTCTCTTGTGGTGTTTCTTAGCACAGGTAGGCTGGGCCTCTTGCATTGTCCACTCTTCAAGCCCAATGGGCTCTCGTGTGAGGGGGCATGTTGAGATATATAGTCTCACATTGGTTGTATATGCAACTAATGTGGAGTTTATAAAGCCTTGGGCACTCTCACCCTTTGAGCTAGCTTTTGGGGCGGTGTATCCCAAGGTTCTTTACAGTTTTCATAGAGAACTTCATATTTTCCTCTTTTTCTTCTTCTTTCTCTTTAAAAAAGAAAGGGCACAGAGATTGGATTGGTACATAAGGTGCGTCTAAGCCCATGCTACTGAAATTGTAGAGTCCTGAATGCAATGAACTACGGGACTTGTATTCTAAGGTTCTTCGGAGCTAAAACAACCTTTATGATTTCCCTCCATCTTTACCATAGTCTACAGGGGATAAATTGAAATTGGTACCAGGGTAGAGTTTAATCTAGTTGCTGATTTAAGTTATCCTCACTTGCCCCTGCTATACTCTGAAAAGACTAATTTATAATTGGTTAGTGATGGAACCAGAAAAATAACACTGAATTTGACTATAAATTGAAGAAAACATAAATGGAGACAAGCTCCTTACAAGCACTAATGGCAAAAAATAAACCCCTAAGACCTCAACTCCCCCTCAAAGCCAACATCCCTAGATTCCAAGAGTTCCCTAGAGATCCTCAAATTCCCCACTAAACCAATACACAATTCCTGCATGAAGAAACCACACCCTAAGCATCTATATATAACTAATTCCTAACTGATGGGCTTGGATATTTTATTTCCATCAATACTCCCCATCCAAAACTCACCTTGTCCTCAAGGTGAAGAAAGAGGATAGGTGATGTGATAGAACTTCCACCCAAATCCCATTGCTTGAAGCACCTTGACCACCTTGGTAGCTTTAATTCCATTTTCTTTCCATGAACCTCCATGCCTTCACTGCAGCATTTCTTTCCAAAATGAGCATTGCTCTTGAAGAGTAAATTTAAAATGATCATTGATCTTGGAAGAGTAAATTTATGCGTCTCTGGTTATTAAACTCCAGCAACATATACCTGAACCTTGATACTCTCCATACTCCAGCAGCGTTGGTTTTTTTGTTGGCCATCATGCCTCCACTTCCTTGGCTCATCGTTGCACTATTCCCTTGTTGGGTTCCTAAAAACCCAACCTCACTAGTATGGATACCAATTTGTGTTGGACGAATTGCGCCCAAACCGACTGGTTCTTTTTGTGCTTTTTTTGCTAGAAACATTGTGCCTGGTTTTTGTATTCTCCCCACCAATAGCCCTGTTGGGAAGTGCTGGACCAAGCAGGCCTGGTTTCAAGTTGCTACCGCGTTGGCCTCTCAAATCGGGCCCATTTAGACCAAACCCAGTGGCCATGCTAAGTCCACTTCTGTTGTCTTTATTTCCTAGTGTAGGTCAACCCAAATACCCACCTCCAGATCTAGACCCGGTTCTTGTACGTCCCTGGTCAAGCACATCCAACCAGCAGCACATCTTTGTCAGTGATCTTCTCCAGTGAGCAGCAAAGCCGATGGCCTGAGCTCCTTGTGTTGCCGCCCCTGCCACCGTGGTCGTTGCCACTGTTCGCGTGCAGTCTCCCTGCTGGTTCCATATATGTTCACACGTCGTCTCCGTGTATCAGATCTGACTTCGTCTTCTTCTTCAACCTCTGATCTTTCTTCTTCGTGCAATTCTTGTTCTTCTTCGCCTGTTGCTGGTTTTTTGTCTTTTACTTCGCTGATTTGTTTTTCTTCGTTTTTCTTCTTCAGCCTATTCTGTTTTTTTATTCCTCTTGTTTCGTTTTCCTTTGTCTCTTCTTCTACATCATTCTTTTTTTTCTTTCTACAACGTCATTGACATCCACTCCTACTTCGATTTTGTCCACTTCGATTCCTTTTTTTTCTTCATCGATTTTTTTAAAACCCTGTGACTTCATCTTCTCGTATTCAAGTCTCCATGTTTTCATCCACTCAATTGTTTCATCGAACACCTTCACAATTTTTTTCAAATTTTCCCTAAGCTCTAAATCACTAATCCCTCCCATGCTTTTTTTTAGATCTAGATCAGAAGTGCTATAATACCAAATTGAAGGAACCAGAAAAATAACACTGAATTTGACTGTAAATTGAAGAAACAATAAATGGAGACAAGCCCTAATGGCAGAAAATAAACCCCTAAGACCTCAACTCCCCCTCAAAGCCAACATACCTAGATTCCAAGAGTTCCCTAGAGATCCCCAAATTCCCCACTAAACCAAAAAACACAATTCCTGCATAAAGAAACCACACCCTAAGTATCTATATATAACTATTTCCTAACTAATGGGCTTGGATATTTTATTAAAGGCCCGTCAGTTAACAACCCACTCAGAAGCATAAAATAGGAGAAAGTCTACAGCTTTGAGTTCTGGCAAGGCAAAAAGGTCTTTGGTAAGAACATTCAGTCATTTTCTTCCTTAAAACTTTTAGTTTTAACTACAACCAAAAAGGGACTTTGAGGTCTGGATAGTTTAAGAGATCACCTAGTGTGAGAAAGAAATTCCATAGTTGGACTTCAAGACTTATTCTATGTTAAGCTATAAAAGCCAAAGAGAGATATTTATAGAGCAACAACAACATAATATGGGGATAAGAGGGAAAGCTGCTCCTCATATCTTGGCAAAGATCATACACTGGATTGTCAAGAAAAGTATATCATATACCATATAGAGCAATTGCGACACTGAAGGAAAACTACATGTATAACCACTCTTGTTGAAGCAAGAGACAAATACTGGGGAATATCAAACTCTCACATCATATTGTGCCATGGTAAATCTAGTGTGAAAACATACATTACGAGTGTCAATTTTTAACAGGCGGGACATCAATACTATCTCAAACAGAAGTAGATAGAAAAATAAACCACATTCCAAATTATGGATCAAATAAATGATAGGGCTGGAATGAGGATATTTATATCACTTTCACATATAAAATGAATACGTAGATACCAGATAGAGTCAAAGAGAATCAGAGAGATGTACCTTTCAAGTATTTGATATGGATCCACAACAAGCTCAAGCTTTCCATCAACCCATATAGAATAGCGAGCATTTGGAACCAATCGATGCAACAGAAGCTTTGGAATCTGTGGAAAAGGTAGTAAAATTAAAAGGTATATAAAAATAATACTTTATGAACTACAAAACAAATCAGTGCATCCGTGAAATTTTAGCCTTTTCAATTCATACAGAGGACCTAGCTAGCCAATACTAGTAGGTCTACTGATCTAAGTAACCCCCCCCCCCACAACCCAAACAAAAAAAGCCTACTTTTTCTGTGTATTGAAGATAAGTCAGTATGCCAATATTAATTCAAGGTAGTTTATAGAAAGATGAGACCATAACTAACAATATCAATTTTCCACAGCAATGATCAGAACAGATCACAAAGAACAACATAACTATCCCTTTTTTTAAAAAGAAAAAAAGTATCAGTAACAAAAATGGCTAACAACCCATAATGCTAATTTCTATTTCACAGCAATGATGGTGCTTGCCAAATATATAATCCTGACCTTTCCTGTCCGTCTTGCATCTGCGTAAGGAAGATTGCGAGCAACAATAATTCTCCACAAACCAATCTTCTTGCTGATTCCCAGCTTGCCAGAACTCAGCAGATATTTTTCTGTTTCTTCATCTACAAACATGAGGAAGCATACAGTCTTCCTCGCATAATCACTTATATTTTGTGGCTCATTTATCTCGTCAAAATTTCCTGAACAATATATTTAATTTATAATCAATAACTAGCTTAAACAAGTAAATAAATGCAGAAATCACATAATACAGACCAAATATGGCTGATGCAACAACCACTCCATTACACTGCTCCATTTCAAGAAGGTCAGCTTCATCCATGTCAAATCCAGTGTTGCGGCCAGGCTTAATTCCTCTTACAAATCTGATTGATGCACACATGCATCATTGGAGATACAGAATGGATTCAGATCAGTAAAAAGGTACAAGAATGGTCTAGTACTGGCACAGACAATTATAACCATAAAGAACATTCCTCGGTGATTATAGATATAGATATAAGACATAACCAAAAAGCAAAACGCACCCACAGTGCACACTCATTGATTCTCGTACATCAAAAGAATCATTTCTCTGCTTCAAGGTAGGATATCCACCAAACTCCGAACCACCAAATTCTCCATCTCTACTCAAATTTTCTTCATAGATATATGTTAAATTCTTAAGAACTGGAGAAGGTGAGGGCCATGTTGGCATCAATGCAATGGCTTCTTCAACAGGAAGGTAACATACAGGGCATGCTAAAACATAAAACAAACCAGAATATTCAGGAGAAACACCATATACATTAAATAGTCTAAAATATATCAATTTTGAATAACTAACTGATAAAGCAGGAATGATGGGAACTATTACAAATTATTCAAGTATCAAATAGTCTATAAGATATCCTAGGCAGCAAGACTGTAAACTAAAACTTACGACGTGGCCCAGTACGCTTTTTATCAGCTGGAGGGGGAGGGAGTGTGAAGCTATTACATGGATGCCCCGGAGGAAGATGATAGCCCAAAAAATAGCTAGGGGGTGGAGGTGGTAATGCCAAATTTGTAGTCAAGCCAATTGCATTAGCCATAGAGATCTCAGATGGAGAATCAATTATAGACATGCTTTCATTAACACTAATGCTCTGCACAGTGTTTACTTCCGGAGTATCTTCACCTGAAAGCAAGCCATATAACAAGCATCAAGTTATGTTCCAATTAATGAAGAAATCAAATGACAGATGTGAATCACACAACTCACAACATAGCATATTCTAGTAAGCCAAGTTGAGCATATTCACATTTAAATACTAATAAAAAAATTAAACAATTCTGAAATATGAGAAAAAGGGAAGAAAGAAAATAGAGGAACCTTTTCCAATATACAAAACCCAGACGAACACGGCAGCAGAGATGAGACATAGGAAGAGCATTCCGACCTTCTTGCGGCCAGCGAACTTGCAGATCCAAAGGAACAACCTCTCTTTCTCTTTCTCCTTCAGCATCTTTGAAGGCTTGCGAATAGACGACACACCGTTTTGTAGCTGTTTATCCAAAGACCCATAACTTGAAGAACGAATACCAAGACTCAATGAACCTCCACCTCCAGACATTATATCTCAACAAACCCTTCATATGATCCTCTCATTCCTCACCCTTCAATTTCTCTCACACCCCACTTCACCATTTCGAACAATGCACTCTCCAATGCCACACTCTCACTTCCAACTCAACAAATATTAAATCAAATTTGATTTCTCTTTCTGGGCATTCAACACCCAACAACAACAACAACAAAAGCAAAGGTTCAGAAATACAATAGTTGCGCCCAAATCAACTGAAATACGGTTATATTACACTGAAACTGAAACTGGGTCCCGAGAAAAACTCTCCCTTTCTTCCAAAAATGGGGAATGAATCTAGGGTTTCTGATTAGGGTTTTCTGAAAACCGAGACTCGGAAGAAATTCGGGATCACAAATTTCCAAGTACTATAACTTCTTTCTTTTTTGTTTAATTTTCTGCTGATCCGGAAGTGGTGATGACGATCTCAGAGAAAAAAATTTGATTGAATGTTTTTATGAGGAAAGATTATAAAATTAGGGAAAATAAATTAAAAATAGAACTATAGAAACGTGGAAAATCATGATAGGGTAGTCTGCACAATATTTGCCCCTTCTGACACTGATGCCTCATTCAGCGTGACATGGAAATAAGGTTACTAAGATGCTACCCAGCTCATAGCTTGACATCTGGTATCTAATAATTATGATTAATTGTTATCATCATAATTATTATCGTTAGTTCTATAGTTGTCAAGATCTCGATTTATCACTACGATTTTACGTTTTTACGATTTTTTTTATAAAAACGATTTTATCAATATTCTAGACGCTTTTACGTTTTTACGATTTCTTACGATTTTTTTACATTACGATTTTACGTTTACGATTTTTTAGCCCCTTCCGAATTTACTTAAAATCTCAATTTTACCAACTATGGTTAGTTGAATGGTTTTATAAAATTTGGAAACTTAATTAATTAAACCAAAAATCATCTAAAATCTTGTAATAATAGTTTTAAATTTACTTGTTGGTGTTTTACTTTTAAGGGTCAGTTTGTTGACAACCACTATGCTTTGCCTCCCACAATATCTATGGTTGATGATGGTTGTTTTTGGGTATTTAAATAAATTTTTTATTCTTCTGAAACCTTCTTTTTGTCTTTTAATTAACATAGAATTATTGCGTGGCTAATCTATGGGATTGCTGGTGTTGATGCACCCAGAATCGGATGGGAACATTGAATATTTTGTTATTATTACCAATACCCAGAAATGGAGAAGTAATTTCTTTCCTAATTTTCTGGGTTTCCAGGTATATAAATAAAAAAAATTATTTATCTCAAAAAAATAAGGCATATAACATATTAATAATAATCATGCACACCCTTATAATATGTTTTTATTTTTTTATGAATGTGACAAAATCGAAATGTAAATTTATAAAAAAAAATAATGTGAAACTAATTTTAATCAAATAATTAAACTGTAAAAATGTAAAATACATATAAGTAAATATTCATATGTACCCACCTATATTCATTTTCGATCCTCCTATGACCTATACGGCAAGTTACCAGTCATTAAATTTGGCTTCGGCGGCAAACAACTTAATTAATGTATTGAAAAAATTGACGTCAATAAGACATTTGAAAATTATATATCAACCATAACGAATGAAATTAATAAAATTTTGTGATTTTTTACTCGGAATACTTGAAATTTTTTGTTTTTTCTTTTATTTTTCCCTTTTAAGTAAAAGTTGTTTTACAATTTGAGACACAGATAGCAAAATTGATCGTCTTGCAAAATGACTTAAAGTAGATTGACAGCTTCATTTTTAAAGCCGTACACATTAGCTATCAAAAAAAAGCCGTACACATTAATAATGATATATAATAATAATTGTTCACTCTAAGATCAATTGCTATTAATTATTTATACAATTTTCAATTTTTTTAAAAAAATATTTCAACGAAAAGAATTTAATGTGTAAGGAATAGAAGACCCCACAGTCGTTGATTGTGAGATTAATTAATTTGTCCATTTATGATCTCTCATGGCCTCGTTTTAAAACATGCATCCATGGAAAAATGCATACGAGTAACTTGCTTCTACATGTGTTAAACAACCACGAGGATGACACCATTGTTTCAAATGGTATGAATGGCATTTCTTCAGGAAATTTCCTTTGTTTTTTATAGATATGAAACGTTGTATGAAGTCTTAATGCATTCAATTAATTCGGTTTCAAATTTGAATTTCTCAACTTGTTTTAAAAATTATGACTCTTAGGGCCGTTTGGTACACGGATTTTTTTCAGATTCCCGAGAAATTAAAATTTTAAAAATTTTAAATTTTTAGATATTATCGTAAACTGAAGGTAAAAATCATATTTTTAAAAATCAAAATTTTCGGACAAATAAAAATTTCTCCTGTACCAAACGCCCCCTTAAGAATCGAACTTGCGAGTCTCAAGAATCGAACTTTATTGTGCGATTTCCAATATCAACAACAACTCTGATTCAATGAAACTTGTTTTTCACTTATTCTTCTTCTTAGTGTGCTTGCTTTGTTTACACTATAAGATGGTATTAGTTGAAATTTGACCTTCCGATAGTTTCTTTGACTCACTATCTCCTTTTTTTCTTGTTGTTCGATTGGGTTTGTACCCACTTTCTTGTTCTAAATGGCTTATACACAGGATTCAACTTCTCTACAAGATTCAACTCCTTAGACGCGCGCAAAGTTAGAGGTTGATGATCCCACTAGTTTCTTCTTCTTCCACCATTTCGATAGCCCTGGATTGGTTCTCGTTTCTCAGCCGTTGTGTGACAATAATTATTACTCATGGAGCAGAGCCATGAAGATTGCACTTTCGATCAAGAACAAAATCGAGTTCATCGATGGAACCATTGTCAAACCTGATGGCGCAAATCATGTTCTTCTTCGATCCTAGACTCGAAATAATGACATGGTAATTTCTTGTATCTTGAATTTTGTCTCCAAGGACATTTTCGGAAGCTGTTGCGATCATGACAAGTATACCAATCGTACAAGTAATAATTATACAAGTGATAAAGTGATAAGTAGAGTTATCGTTCTCACGAGGATTGATCTAGCAAGCACTAAATTCATAATGCGATCAAAGCTGAATCAATCATAAGGTTTTGTGAATAATGATTTAAATATAAAAATGCAAACCATAACTAAAAACTAACTAACAAGAACAGGATCAAGAACACAAAATAAATAACGACTTGAAACTAATAATGCAAAACGTAGCAAAGTTGTCGAATTTCCTAATTTCATCCTAATGTATCTACCCTTTCCCTCAATCAATATTCAAACCCATGTTGTTGACAATTCATCACAAATTAATTAAAACTTAATTCCTTGGTATTTCAATTCTTTGACCTATTAAGAATCTTAATCCCTTAGTGATCTCGCTTAGGGCAAGAATTAAGGACGATGAACAAATAGTCATAGGTTTCATAAGTCTATCCCTAGATCAAACAAAACCTAGCAATAAATTAGATCAGAATCATACACCAACAGCCCTACTGTCATGCATAACTCAAGTATCCTTCTATGATTGATCAATTCACAAAAGAATTAAGAATGAAACACAGAATAATTGCATAACATTAAAGATTGAACATTTAATTGAAAGAAAAGAGTAAATAACAATCAAGAATTCATTGGTTCTATCTAACCCTAATGTAACAGCCTGTTACGTACCGGTAATGTTATCATTGCATATGGTATTAAGCGCAGTTACAATCACAGTAATTGAGTTAATTAAATTACGGGTAAACTTTTTCTTTTATTGCATCATTGTTTTAAACATTAAACATTTTCGTAATCAATTAAAAACAACACTGTCATTGTAAATGCGAGACATGCGGAAGCATAAAACATATTTCTTATAACCCCTCAAAGCAATATCATTAATTCTAGGTTGTAAAATGACATATTTTAAAAATTTGTACAGTGGAAATCGATTCCCAACTTCAAGGAATCGATTCCCAGCAGTTACAGTAACTGACAGTAGCTTAAATTTGGCTCCCCTGTTTTGAGGAATCGATTCCCAACATCACAGTGGTTGAATTTTACGTCTCTGCTTCAGGGAATCGATTCCTACACTGAAGGAAATCGATTCGTATACTACAGAATCATATTTTGACAGCTTTTTCTTTACAAAGAGGAACATGTAACTTACCCTTAACACCTTAATACCCAAAATACAACTTGTATAAGGACTAATGTAGGCTCTAGGCCTTTCCCTCATGCATAATCATTCATCAATGCATCAATTTACAATGTTCACCATTTCCTTTGCCATTTACACATCATATGGCTCATTTACAATACCAAGTCTCCAAATGCCTTAAAATATCATATGTGGTCATGGACAAGTCTCATGCTCACCAAAATACCAATATAAACAATAGACATGAAAAGTGAATCAATTACAAAAGACTTAGAATCTAATAATGAACACCCAACATCATGGCAATATCTACATGCAATATGTTCATGATCCAAGTCCCAAAATGCTAAAGACTATGTTATGTGCATCATATGTAATCCTCTAAAATGCTATGCTCTCCATATGCACATCATGCTCAAATCCTCCACTAAGCGGACCTCTTGCCCGATGGTCCTCCATGCTCAACATAACCTGAAATGATGTCCCCAAATGCGGGGTGAGATATACAAATATATCTCAGTAAACCAATGGTACTAGAGGATCACTCCACCTCATGGCTCACTCAATGTGCATACAATAAACATCATGTAAAATGCATAACATACAACATCACAAACAACTGGGCTCACATCCAAGAACATCCACATATGGATTCCGTTCAAAGACCCCATCATATAACTCTCGGGAAGCTTCCCGGTACCTCTCCTATGGATGAGACGACCCCATGACAAAACCCAACTGGAACTCCTCAAGAGACCTATCCAGCGAAAGTCTCACGTTTGGATCATCCTGGTACCGCTCCCAGAGTCGGCCCCACGGCAAAACCCGACCGGAATCCTCCAAAGGAATATCGCCAGCGAAAGTCCAAGCAACACATATCTACTGGCCAGAGATCACAAATATTTCACACAAACAAACAACAATGCATGAACATACATTTTCACACAATGTCAAAGAGCACCAAATCCAACCACAACCTTCCATTAGGTATGGCGGAACACACAAGGGGATAGAACTCAAGTTCCAATAGTTTACCTCAACTTCGCAAATGATGCTCCTCACGTAAGCTTCGAGCTTAGTCCACTTCTATTGGTTCCGTGAGAGACAACCTATATGATTAAAAACAATGACCATCAACCGATAAACACTAAATCAATTTCACAAGAATTATAACCAATTATAGCCACTTAGACCTAATGGCCCTCTCACAATTAATTCAACTATCTCAACCATTTTACTCATCAAACTTACTCACCAACCCAACAATTATGCACTTAAAACATC